GGGGGGGGGGGGGGTGGGGTACTCCTGGGAATTCTTGGTGGTGGTGTGCCGCCCGGTTCTTCAAATCTTGACCCAGACCAAAAAATGTAATTTTCCACACCCGTTTTCAGACCAGACCTCTAAAATCCATACCTGTTTTCAGACCTGGCCTTTACGCAGGAATTATTTTACCATTACTTAGATTGAAGGGCAAACAAAAAATTTCTTCAATCCATTTCGAATTCGCATATTTCTTTTTCTTTCTTGCTCATTTGGAATTAGAAACAACAAATACCTTCATACACTCCGTAGTTCCCTCGAAAACCATACTCGGTTCCAGACCAGAATGGGCAAAGTGTCAACCCGTTTTCAGACCAAAACGGCCCAAAAACCCTACCCGATGGGGCGGGACATACTTACGTACGTTACGTATGGGAGTATCCTCCCCGGGGGCTATGGATAGCTTGTTACTGGCACGACTGAAAATCATACCGGATAGGGCTTCTGTTCACACATAAGAACGGGCACTTCGGCACGATTTCCGTGACGGAGCGAAGCTGGGCCGCGCCGATCTCTCAGTGGATCGGGAGTCACATATCGGATAGGTGCTCATACTATCCCGGATAGCTGTCCGTGTGGTGCGAAAAGCCATCCAGTATAGCCGTGTGAAAATAGCCTTAATCTTCTTTTTATTGCCAAGTAATATAACAGAGCTGTGCGAGAGTCTCCATTATTCTTGTTATGACAGGTGAACTCATTGTATGACCTGTATTTTATCGTGACCAAATATTTTGAAAATATTTATGATAGTTATAGGTTTTATGTAAGCGGGCAAAATGTCACATTGTTTCATAAGTGAAAGCAAGAGAGGATAAAGGGCTTTATCCTCTCTTAGTGAAAGACCACAACGAACTCCAAAATCGTGTACTTAGATCTTAAAAAATACAAAAATTATAAATATTCACTTTAAAATTCCTTACATGAAATTTCCTTGATAACCTTCACCCGTCAAAAGCCCTACAATTTAAACCAATCGTCAAAATTGGCAGCATTTAACCGTTAACCTTCAAAGCTAAACTCCCATTGAGACCCTCACAAAACCATTGGAAATCAATGTGACACCGTTTAGTTGTACGCACTCATGAGCAATTGGTATGTTGTGACTGAAATGCGCCACACTGATTTGCATTGCTAAACAAGAGCCCCTATAACAGTCTTATAACGAGCAAGAATTAACAAATTACTCACTCGATCCCCATCCTACCAAGACGGAGTATATGCTGCTCAGTAGACGTGGGCTACTGACTGGGCCAAAACAAGCTATTAAGATGGGTGATTACTATAGAGGAGATTGTTTCTACAAGATGCTGAGGTGTGTAGATAGACAATGCTCTTAAATGGGATCTTCACCTATCGGAACTAGCGAAGTCGTTTACGCAGAAGTTGAACTTACTTATTATTAAATCACTACGGCTTCCTGCCTAGATAGGCGAGAACTGATTTCTATTTTGGGGTTATTTTTCCCTCTGTTACGTATGGAATGTTAGTTTGGGGCTCTTGTGGTCAAACTTTTCTCAAACCTAGAATCTATACTGTTAAAGCGGCAAAAATAAAATTTAACTTAGACTGGTGTAAGTCAGGCAAGGAGGCTCTTGCCACAGCAAAATGGAATACCTTAGAGTTTATGTATGAGAAACGATTATTAATTTTAGCGCATCAGGCTTATTATCATCTTTTACCATGTCCTATGAACTGTCTTTTTGAAAAGTATGTAAGTAGATACAATCTCAGGAGGAAAATGACCTTTAAGTTGCCTAGGCCTAAGACCGATATGGTCAAGAAATCATGCTCATACAAGTCAATTATTCGGTGGAATGCCCTGGAAAACCAAATGAGATCAATTCATGACATTGACGCTTTTAAAAAGTCACATGCAAGTGTGTTTTTAAGCCACATATATATATTATAATGATGTACTGTGTATAGGAATTTTTATTGTTGTAATTGTAAATACGTAGAATTCTTATAGTAGTCTTATTGTGCTTAGTGAAGAAGTTTAATTTTGTTCTTTGTATATACGACCCACTGCTAACAAAACAACTCAACCTCGTCTCCAGGTTTTCTCTGTTAAAGGTTCAATAATCTACAACTTTCGCTTCAATTTTGACGTCATCGGTTCAATATGGCAAAATTCTTCCAAATTTGGTCAACAGTAGCTGGTTATGATATGCGTGTTGTTTTAGCCAATCAGAAACGGAGAAATATTTTGAATAAATAATAATACGCAGTATTACACTTTAAATGAATTTCATCGTTTTCTTTTGTTTACTCCTTACCATTTGGAGCTAATTGTTACGTAATATATCATGCATGCGACAAAGTCACTGCGTTTCATCGCCAGATAAAACACTGAGAAGAGAGTTGAAAATACGACGCGCAGTGGAAGAATTTTTGGCGGACTTCGAGGAGTCTCATCTGTGTCAAATGCTCGATATTAATTCTCCAAAAAAATGGTTTTAGACGGAGAAATTAAGGATGCAAAACCGAGCAGTTTTTCATCTGATTACCAAACACTAATTAAACACTTTAAAATTTCCTTTGTTTTTTTATGAATTATTAATGAGTTGAGAAATATTGTTTATTCATGGCTTAAGTAAAATCACTCTAATTCGGCTATAATTACTGTACTAACAACCTGAGTCTAGTTATTTCGACTTGTAATCAATAGCTACTTCCTGCTGTCATGAATTCGGTGCGAAACAGATGATTCGTATTTGATTTCGATTGATTTGTTCTCAGTACACGTTCATGGTTGCAGCCATAATGTCATTAACAGTATTCAACGTTCATTTTTAAAATTCGGCTACGGTGACATGCTACTTGGATCTAACGGTGATCAGTCTTCCCCAAAACAAGGTCAATTCTCTAATTAGTAGATCTTCTTTTGGTAGGAGGCAATGTTATTATTGTCATTGGAGGAGATGACAACTACAAAAACGAAGAGGAGGAAGAGCGATCATTTATCTCGCCCTGGGCCCGAAGAATTGTCTTTGTACAGTTCAACGAAGAATATTTGGATGGCAGGAAAAGCTTCGTCTTTTCCTGGGGCGAAAAACACAGGCAAATTCACGTGGAAGCTCTGATGCATTTTTTTGATGCAGACAAGAATGGTGAAAAGTTTAAATATCAGTTGCCAATAAAAGCAGACCCTACCTTGCAGCCCGGACGGAAAACCCGGGTTGAATCCATTCCAGCAGAAGCGGAGGAGAACAAATGCCCCTCAGATATTGGGAAAATTACACAAGGAACGGGTGCTTCTATTACTTTTTCAATTTAATTTATCGCATTTTTCGCTCACCAGACCGGCATTAGATCCCTGAAACGCAAGTGACAAGGGATAGGGGATGGTTGAGCCGCTCGCCCTTTAGCAGTTGACACTCGTGTCATTTCGCATTATCCATCCAATAAAAGTAGGAGAGAACAAAGGTTGAGGAACAGTGCTCTTTTTTTTACGAGTGAGGTCGCGGGATCGATCCTTTCCCGGAATGCAGGGTTGACCACATACAACAGCTACTTGCAAGACCTTTTAATCCTTTTATCGATTCTAGTGGTTTTGTTTGCAGTTTGTGTTTAGTCGTTCGCAGGAGCCCATAACTTAGAGCGAGTAACTCCCATACTAGGCCTATGTCATGGCGTTTTTATGGACCAGTTTATTTTTAAACACAATTTAGGGCACTTTTTCCTGCGAAAATAGAATCTCCGTCAGGTCTATGAGCGAATTCGAAGTACATGATATCAAAAGGAAAACTAAACGTGACTAAAAGGCGAAAAACATGATATCATTTTCAGGTCTGTAGGTTTTGCTTTTGTAGGAATTTAACGGATATTCAAAATTCGCGCCAAAACCGTTCTAATTAAGAATAAACTGGTCCGTGAAAACGCCGTGACACGAGCGCATGGAAGTTGCTTGCTCCGGGTTATGGGCTTCTGTCGTTCGTTAGTTTTTTCTTCACTATTCTTTCAACCATCATAAACCGATGGAAGCAATTCGTACCTTGTTCTCCTGTAGTCTTGGCAGTGCATTAAAGTAATTAGAGGTGCCGCTGTTTTTTGCTTTCACCTACAGGCTTGGCAGGTCTCGGTTTTAGCGTAGGACTGAAAATTCCTTCTTATGGACAAAGGGATCAAAGTTACAAAACTGGGAGCGGAGCAGATATCGGAAGCCAAGGGGCTGGGCCTCAAAGGGCTATAGGATCAACAATGGTTCCAAACTCTTTGAACTCATCAGGCGAAAGGCTCTCCTCTATGGGAGAGACACAGATTCCTTCAAGGGATAAAGGTCCAGAATTCAGTGATAGAGGCATTGGTAGACCTGGCATCCAAAGCCAAGGGGCTAGACCCAAGGAAACAACGTCGTTCACAAAACAGCCACTTGAAACTAATGGAGGTTAGCAAATTTTACAATCAGCATTTCTTCAACTGTTAAGTTGAAAGTAATTTTAGCAGATAAACGTCTAATGTTTGTTCCACCTTCATTTAAAAAAAAAAAAAGATGACTAGGGCGTCTTTCCAAAGTGACCCTTTACCCTTATAAATTGCGAATTTTGGCTACCGATCACTTATTGAATTTATATCTTGAGTGTTATGTATACTGCCATCAAGTTGAGCATATAGCGTCTAGTTAAGAATTTTAGCCTTGTACTCGGCCTGGTATTGAAGAGCGAAAACGAACAATGTGAAGCGAGCGAGTTATACACGAGTGAGTGGTTGGAGTGTTAAAAGTGGGGAAAAACAGAGGTTAGGGAGCAGTCTACCTGGAATAAGTTGTTCAAGTGTTCCGTTTAGAACTTCCTTTCGAATGGCGCAGTGATGAACAAACATATTCTTGCAAAACGTCGCCCCATGGATTCCTGGATCTGATAAATTTTTGCGTGTGGAATCCGGAATCTGGGAAATCTTCGCTGGTGGATTCCGAAATCCTGGGCTTTGAAATCCGGAATATAGCTCATGACCAGGAATACGAAATCCAAGTTCAACTGAGGCGTGGAATCCAGAGTGCAACGACTTGGATTTCCTTACATCAAGCGTAAGACGATATTATTTTATCGACTTAAGTTTTTTTTCGGTTGTCCTTAGTTGTCTTTCCTCTCCTTTTTTTCTCTCCCTATTTCTCCCCCTCCCTCCGCTTTACCATATTATGTACGTAATGGACTTAATTCGTACTTTTGTCTTCTTTAGCACATTAAAGGTGTTACTGTTTTTCCTTCTTCCTTCAGGCTTGGCGCTTCTCGGTTGTTGCGTTTCCGAGGAAACCATGAAAGCTGCAGAACAAGTTCTTGAAAGTATTTGTCCTAAACTGAATCTTCATTCACAGCCTTCAGTTATAAGCCTTTCAACTACTAACCAAATTAAGCAGTACCTAGAGAGACACTCGCTCCAGTTCTGTGTGTTGGTAGTCGATGGGGAAACTATAAAAGACGCTTATGAGAATCTACCTGCACGAAAAGTTGAATATGAAGACCTTTTCAAGACGGCAGTGGAAAGAGTTGGTAAGATACGTGCTCATTTTGTAATAAACAAAATAAACGTTTCTACACTTTTCTTTTCTCATCCCATTTACTTAATTAATTTCATACGGCTTTTGTATGCATGTGCGCTCAATTCCTACGCAGCCCACATGTGATGCGTCTAGTGGCTTCTGTGTTCCTATCTACTGTCGTTGAGGTGGGAAGGAAAGAAGGAAGGAAGGAAGGAGTCGTTAGTGAGAGGACAACAGATGCGCCCTCTCTACAATATATGTTAACATGTCAACAGTAAGCTCGGCGAGCTTCCACAGGTGCTGTTACCTTTCGTTTGGTCATTGATATGGAAGTTTTGTTCTGCTTTGCCCGTTCCCAACTTTAAGCCATAACATAACAAGATACAATCGGTGTATAGTTCACTATATAAGACAGATGTATTTAAGTTTGGTGACGGCCGTCTTTCAATTTTTATTTTACACGACGAAAGCATTGTTTGGTAGTAGGTTCGTTAGCAGGTTCCATTTATTTGCAGCCCCGCCGAAGAGCAATTGTAGGTTTTCGCCAATTAATGTTAGCCTTATAAGGAAGTTTCAAATTCATTGTGGATGTACGCGTGTTGAAAGATAAACTGGCAAGTCAGTTATATATAACTTGGAGTGTGGCTCTTTACAATTGACTGCTGTACCCGGCCGGGGCCACCTAGACAGGGCTGACCCATCGGATTACACGAAAATGACATTTCAAGAAAGATGGTCATCAACTTAATTACTACAAAATCTACCAATTACAACCTTTTAAGAATGTGACCTTTTTTTACTTGTTCTGAAGGAGAGCCCATGTTTCCGAGGGGTCCGTTAGAGTGATTGATCATGACAGAAGTGAAGAACGTAAACGTTAGTTAAATTTTAACTTGAAGTCACATGTTTTTGGAAAGCGCGGCAATGTTAACGAAGAAATTGCTTGTTAATGACAAATAGCAGCTTTGTGACAAATAAGTATGTCTCCCAAACGTTATGAAAAAAGTTTTAAACGCGAACAACATCACTAAAGATAATTTTTCTGGGAATTTTTCTTTCATGGACACGATTATTTTCAATATTTGAATTTTGTGCTTCCAGTAACTCATTTTGGTCTAATGAGCTGAGGGATTGGCTAAAAACTACTTTTTCGAAATATATTTTTATTTTCTTGTAATCTGATTGGTCTACTTTGTCGAGTAGGCGCCAGTAACAGTATAGGCACGTTCAAGGTTTTGAAGACAATTTTAGAACGTACACATTTGATTCAATTATTTTTAAGATGGAACCTGAGCCATCCAAGAAGCGGCACCAGGGAGCTTTTGCAGTCTTTTTCTGTAAACGTTAAAACCTATGAAATGCAGCAGTAATCCATTCGTGACAGAATGGAGCAAATTTATAGAAGGCTATGAGCAGGTCTCGTATGTCACGTTTAATTTTCCCGAAAACGTCTTAGGATACCCACTCGTTGGGATACCTTTAGCGATGTAATCGATATGCGAGGACCAGCTCAACGTTTAGTTTGTATAAACACCATACAATTTCTCCGATTATCTTTCAAGTTGAGACTCAGTGATAGTTTTACTAAGATGACCTGGAAACTTTGATATTTTACTTTTAAGTAAAAAGACGAAATAATCATAGCCGTATTTTGTTCTTGATTTAAAACCATTTTAGTTTCAACATTCAAAAGAGATTTAGTCTGAATGTCAGAGGTTCCGACTTTCTAACCGTCGTATCTTCACAGCATTGTGCTTCATTTATGTGAAGAGGAAGATTATTCACATGTATTTTCAATAAAAGGGGACTGAGCCTAGTATTGATCCCTGTGTGACTCTAGACTTTGAGGAAAGTTCATTATCGATGTGACTTAAAAATATCTGTCGCCACAGAACAAACTACATTTAGTGGTTCAAATTGGAGCCCGCGCACGGATAGCACAAAGGTTTTGCAGCGGGTCTTCTGATTTCCCATTTTATTTATGTTAGCTTTCACAGAATAGCCTCTTACTTGTGTCATGTTAGTAGTATAGGAGGGATGTTTTACTCCGGATTTTTGAGGTGGAACACATTAACACCCGATAACGTCATAACTCTTGTCTTTATCTCTTGAACGGAATGCGCAGGGATCTCATTAAGATACGGTCATGTGCTATTTTTAGTTGGTTTAACCGGTTTTATTCAAGAGATAAAGACAAAAGGTTATGACGTCATCGGCGTTAATGTTTTTCTGCGCAAGTTAATGAGATTCCTGCGCAAAAATCCGGAATAAAACATCCTTCCTATACTACTCATATTTTACTTCTTTTCTAAATAGCTGTAAAGGTGATTTTTTTGGTCTGCGGTAGCCTATCTTTGCCTAAGAAGGACGAAGACATAATCCATCAAACAATATACCGTACGGTCAAAGGAAAAGACGTCAAAGGATTCATAGCTTGGTTGAAGAATGGGAGACTGACGGTAGAATCTGATGTCTTGGCGCAGCTTCTGAATCCCGCATTCACCATGTCGTGTGCAGTGACACCAAGCAGCACTCGATGGGCTACTCAAGGACAAAGGAGTGTCCTTTTCCACTCATCTGATCGACGACGTCATGTCGAACACCCAACAGAAAGAAAATCGGGATGTGGGTGGAATGCTGCAACTCCAACCTTCAATACCAAACCGAATCGTGTTATGGGGAAGTTGATGCTTAAAAGCAAACTACGCTATGGCGAACTATCATTCGATTCAGCAGATCTTAAATTTTTTAGCCAAGAATTCCAGGAAATCCCTCAAGACATTATTAAACATCTTCTACAAACAAACAAACACGTCCAAGAGACGAGTGTTAAAATCATGTGGGTCCCAAGTCATAACCAGCAGTTAATTTACGTCGGTGATCAAGAAATAGAGATGGCCGACAATGACTTACTTTTGTTAAAAACTCGTGTTAAGAATGGTGTGGTATCTTTTCATGAGGATGACATTGAGGCTCGATACCCGGCAGATTGGCAAGTACCTGTGTACATACTTGAAGACCTGAAAAGGAAGGCGTCTAACGGCAAGCTCTTTATCATTTCTGACGAAAAAGGAAATTTAAGATGCACTGTAAAGAGGACAGAGAGGGTTTAAGGAAGCTGCAGTTGCTGGAGTGAGAGATATGGCTCTGGCCTTCTGGCCTTCTGGCCTTTTTGACTTCGAAGAAATAATAAGCAGGTACAATAAACTTTGTTTAGCCTAACTAATACGATGGCGGATTTTTCAATGCCACTAAGACCCAGGCTATGATTCGTAAGGGTAAATCCTGATCTACCTGTAACAATGAACTCACCATGAACTGAGGTAATATACAGATTATCGATGAACTTATGTTGCTGGGAGTTGAGATGGGTAATAAGCTTACTTTCTCTCCACATGTTTAATTACTGTTCTTAGTAATATTCCTGCGAAGGTAGTCGCCCTTCCCAGAATTAGGAGTTTTATTGATAGCGACACCGCGCTTTTTTTTGTGAGACGTATATACTTCCCCATTTCGACTATTGCAGCCATCTGTTAATTGGAATGAATTAGACCTTTACAAAGAAAGTTAGAAAATGCCAGTTATCATATGTACTTAGAACTCTTTTTAAATTGCCCACGTTTATTAGCTACGAGGAGAAATTGTCACAGTATAACTTAGACATTATCAAGTATAGGCGTCTGATCCAAGCTCTCACACTTATGTTCAGAGGCTATCCTAAGTACATATTATTATGATATAAAAAAAACTGTGAGTACAATCTTCGTAGTAATAGTAGCAGACTTAATCAGCCGGTCCCAGAGTAATACCGTCTACTTTTAAGCACACAGTACAAATCTTTCTCTTATATTGCATGTCGACTCTGGAACAATCGACCTCCTCATGTGAGGGAGGCCTCCGATCTTAAGTTTTT